AAAATCAATAATATATATATATAAAATAAATAAATAAATAAATAAATAAATAAAATAAAAATAAAATACAAATAAATAAAAAAGAAGGGCACTGATCTCCAGGAGACCTCAAGAAATACCAAAATAAATTTTTTTAGGCTAAAGTAAAACAATCCAAAAGTACAGAAGTACAGAACTGCAGAAAATAATGAGCATTATTAAAATGTATAGCATGTACATATACATATGGAGATATACATACATACATACACACACCTTTTTATATATATATTTGTGTTGTTCTATATTTCACATAATGAAATAAACCAAGCATCAATAACAATTGTGAGTGTTTCATTCCTGTAAGGGAATTTATAAATATGTAGAACAGTAGAGAATATTGGTAGGCACCACTTTAGCTAAGTGATCAAGTTAACATCACACACACACACACACACACACACACGCCAAGTTTAACATTACCAGTAATGCATGTTAATATGTGTTCCCTGATGAGATGCTTTAAAAATGCCTAACCTCAAAACCTAATCTTGAGACATGAAATAGACAAATAGAAAAACTTTCTCAAATGTAACTAATTAATTCTCTTCAAAGTGTCAAGGTGATGAAAAATAAGACTGAGAAAACTGCCACAGATTGAAGGAAATGAAGAAGATATGAAATCTACAATGCAAGGTGGGATTAGATTGGATCTGAAACAGAGAAGGTTCATTTGTGGAAAAACCAGGTGAAATTCCAAACTATCTATATTTTAGTTATAATTTTATATGAAGGATAACTTCTTAGTTTTGGTCAATGCTTTATGGTTAATATAAGGGGAAATTTTTGTAAAGGGCATATTGCCAACCTCTAAGATATTCTTAATGATCTCTGCCTCCTGGTATTCTTAATCTTGTGTAATACCTAACCCTTCAGAATGGGCTGAAAATAGTGATTTATTTCTATCCAACAATATGGCAAAGTGGTGAAATTCACTTCCAAGATTGGTTACATAAAGACTGTGGCTTTTATAGATATAGAGATAGTAAAGCAACAAGCAGACTGTCAAATTACAGCAGGGAGGGTAGGAAGATCTGGGGGAGATAATAGATCAACTGAAGAACTTGTATACATGCATATAAGTACAACCAATGGACACAAAACTCTGGGGAGGGAGGATATTTAAGGGGGGGGGCAATGTTAAAATATGTACACAGATAATAATTTAATTTAAAAAAATGTTAAAAAAAAAAAAAAAAAAAGACTGTGGCTTTTGTCCTGAACCCTCTCTTGCACTCTTACTTGAGGAAATTTAGCTATTACAATGGATGTGCCCATACAGAGGAACTCATGCCTCTAGCCAACAGCTATGTGAGCAAGTTTGGAAGCATATCCTCAGTCAAGTACAGCTGAGATTAGACCATAGCTACAGCCAATACCTTGTGAGGGACCCTGATAATTTAATTAAAAAAAAAAAAAAAAAAAAAAAAAAAAGACTTATTTGCAACCTTGTGAGGGACCCCGAGCCAGAAGCACCCAGCTAAGCCATGCCTAGATTTCAGACCCACAGAAACTTTGGAATAATACTGTTTTAAGCTGCTATATTTCAGGGTAGTATGTTACACATCAATACAGAAACTATAATACTGTTTTTTGCAACTCCTTTTTAAGTTGAAAATTATCTCAGAATAAAAAAGTTTAAACACACAGTTATGCCTTGCCTAATGACAGAGACACATTCTCAGAAATGCATCCTTAGACAATTTGGTCGTTGTATGAATATCACAAAATGCACTTACACAAACCTAGATGGTATATATACCTACACTCTATGTACAGCCCATTCTCCTTTACTGTATTAAATACTGTAGGCAACTGTAACAAAATGCTAAGTATTTGTGAGCCTAAACATACCTAAATGTAGAAAAGGTACAGTAAAAATATGGTGTAAAAGATTTAAAATGGTACACACCTGTACAGAGCACTTAAGTGGTAAGCAAATGTGGAGGCCCAGAATATTATGTAAGTACTGTAGACTTTATTCACACTATAAACCTAAACTACACTAAGTTTATTTTTAAAACCTTTTTCTTCAATATTAACCTTAGCTTACTTTAACATTTTTAACACAGCTTAAAAAACACTTTGTATAGCTTCACAAAAATAGTTTTTCTTCATATTCTTATTCTATAACCTATTTAAAGCTTTTAAAGTATTTTTTACTTTTAAAACTTTTTGTTAAAAACTAAGACATAAACACACACATTAGCCTGGGCCTCCACAGGGTCAGAATGATCAATATCATTGTCTTCCACCTTTAAATCTTGCCCCACTGGGAGGACTTTAGGGATAATAAATAACACACACGGAGCTGTCATCTCTTATGATAATGCCTTCTTTTGAAATACCTCATGAAGGACCTGCTTGAAATATGTCCATGGTGGTTTGCTTGGTTGATTATTTACCGTATTTTTCGGACCATAAGACGCACTCTTTCCCCCCAGAAGTGGGGGGGAAAAGTCCCTGCGTCTTATGGTCCAAATATAGCCTACACATATACTTTAAAAAAAAAGTTTTTTTACTTGCCCGGCTCTGTGTGGTCTCTGTGTGCTTGCCCGGCTCTAAAATGGTTCTAAATGCTGCTGTTTACTTTACAGGGTTGATTACATGTGTTTATGACTGTGATGTTGGGTTTTAATGCACATAAAATATTTTAGGACACTGTTTGTTTCAGAATCTTTTTTTCTTCATTTCCCTTCTCTAAAAACTGGTGCGTCTTATGGTCCGGTGCGTCTTATGGTCCGAAAAATACGGTATTTATTTGCTTGTAGGTAGATAATGCACAATGAACATTCCTCTCAATTGATGAAAACCCTTCAGTGTTGAGGCCCATGTTTTCAAAAGTTTTAAGGAGCTTGTTGAGGTCTGCAAAAGCTTCTGCTAAAACCTTTACTGTGAATTTTCTTGGGAGTTCCTCTTCTTTTTCTTCTGCAGTTTCCTTTTCTCTTGGCCTCTTCCTCAGCTATGTATTCCTGCTCTAGTTCCAACAACTCCACATTAGTCAATTCCTCAAGAACCACATCTAGGCACTCTCCAACGTCATCCTTATCCACACCCAGGTTACAGTTGTTTGTCATCTCAGCTACAACCTTCTTGATTTTTGCAACCTCTTTATCTTTGGCAAATCCTTTGGAGTCATAGAAGTCATTAAGTAATAAAAAATTTTTAAACTAAAAAATTAGTAAAATGCCACTTCAACACTTAATGGTCATTATCATCTTATAGGACCACTGTCATATATGCAACCCATCACTGACCTAAATGTTATGTGGTGGATGACTGTATATGCACACAAATAAACGTTATGTATATGTACAGTTTGAATTATTTATGGACACTGGAGTCAGACACCCCCAGGTTCAAATGCCACCTCCAACACTTAATGGTCATGTGATTTGAGGCAAAACATTTAATTTAATTTGTTTAAGTATTAGGCTTTTAAAATCTATAAATTGAGATAATACTATCTATCTCTGATTATACTGAATAAAAAAATAATATAGGCAACCACTAGCATTTAGTACATTCTGAACAAATGGCATTATCAATTCATATTTATAATTATCTATAATTTTCTCATTCAAGAAACTCAGCTCCAATAACTAAGCATTTTATCATTTTGATGAGTTTAAATATTATACATAAACTTGCCAATCTTTTAATTTCTAAACATTTTTCAAAAATAATGATCAATATTGATTTCTACCATATCCTACTATTTATAACATTGAAACTAGAGATTCACCTTGTTTGTTTTGCTCCAATTCAATTCTCAATCACTAACTTTTAGTCATTTCATTTGGACATATGAGTGCCAAAAATATTAAATGACTATCCAAGAAGATATTTAGTAGAAGAGCTAGAAGTATGGCTCAAAGTTTGGAGAAACAATATCATGTGATAAACAAACACTTGCTTTGATTAAATATGTGAACACCCCATCTGTTGCTTATAATAAGCAATATTTGAGAAAATGCTGTTTGCTGACAAAGTAGCAATGTCAATGCTTCAATTTCCCAGAGGGTAAATACGAATAGCACCATCAACTCATAGGGTTATCATGAGTATTAAATGAGGTAACATATATAAGTTCCTCATTGCCAAGAATAACATGTGGATGTTGAAAAAACATTTTTTCCCCTTCTTCCTTTCCAAGGCCAGTGCTTTTCACTATGACATGTTGCCTTCTCATGTCATAGATGAAAACATTAAATACAAAGGGTAGTTTTGTTTAGCCATAACAGAATGTTAGGAGTCTCTTGTGAGAGACTAATGTAAAATTGAATTGACAGTCTTAAATTTAGGCTGAATAATATAGATCTCATGCATTTATCCCTGAGCTGGTTTTCCTTTCCTGCAATACACTGTGAAGTAGGGCATCACATCAGAGAGTACAGTATGTTGGATTTGCATTACTGGTAAGGTTAAACCTTAATTACTTAGGTAAAGTGATGTTTGCCAAAATTTTCCACTGAAAAATTACCTTTTTACATTGTAAATACTAAATATTTGAGGGGACTCATAAAATGGAAATGAAGAGAGGGAAAAAGGAGAGAGCACACATGCAGGAGAGGGAGCATGTGCATGCATCCCCTCCCAAAGCCTGGTCTTCTTCAGCATTTCTTCAACACAATCAGTAAGGAACTGGTTAACTTGTGCCACTGCATGATCAGAGTCTTCTCAAAATAATTCAATGTTTTGAATACTTGAAGCCAAGTCTTATCAAAAGCCCTTTGAAAGTATAAACATATTACTTTCAGATGTCCTCTTACTTGGATATTTATCTCTTGAAAGACTTCCAGCAGAATTGATATAATCTGCCCTAAGAGAATCATACTGCTTCCCCCCAAAACAACAACAACAACAACAACAACAACATAGAAAACCTTACATTTGCTTAAATATTTAAAACCCGTTATGACAAATTCCACCAGCTTGCTTGTTATCACAAAGAGACTCACCGATCTGCAGATACTGGAGTCCTTTCTGGATTGGAATATTCTTCCAAATCTGAAAAGTTCACTTGTGTTTGCCTTGAGATTACTATCTGGCTATTCTGAAAATGTATGGTTTTCAAGTCCTGAGTAATAATATTACTATCTGGAAGAGACTGTATGACTTCAAAGTCCGGTGAAGATTTAGGTCTTAGAGAACCTAAAGGTTCTTGATCATATACTATAAGTTTACTGGTCAGTAATTTGGAGGTTGGTTCCAATGATCTTGAAGATACAGCTGTTTTAGAAGCCGGATCCAATGAAATTAAACTTTTATCTAAGGTTCCACTATCCAACTTGGAGGAAGTCTTGGGAGAAAGAGTTATACGAACAAAAGAAAGTACTTTTTTGTTTGAAGGTGGAGTAGATGGAGATCTTACTAACGTATTTTGACTTGGTGCTGATGGGGAGACCACATCACTGATTTTATTAGTTTCAATTTTTATATTAGATACGTATGATTTAGGCTTTTGTTGATCCTTGTTTTCTACTACATAATCCTGACCTTGAGGAAGGGGGGAATATTGTTTTTGCATGTGGTGATCTGTATCAGGGCCTTTGCTTTGTTCAAAGAGCTGACGCTGTTCAAGAAATATGGCAGAAGGAAGATCTGGAGCTATATAAATCTGACCTTGAGGAAAGGGAGAGTGTTTTTCTCTCATCTGATGATCTACCTGTGGGGTTTTGCTTTGTTCAAAGAGTTCTCGGTTTTCAAGAAAAATGTGACAAGGAAGATTTGGAGCTACATAATGCTGATGTGGAGGAGGAGGAGAAGAAAAAGGAGGAAGGGGAGGGGGAGGGGGAGAGGGAGGGGGAGGAGGAGGGGGAGGGGGAGGGGGAGGAGGAGGAGGTTTTCTTACATAGTGATCTGCATGTGGGACTTTGCGGAGCTCAGGCTGTTCAAGAGATATGGGTGGAGAATTTGGAGTTACAGTTATATTCTTCTCTTTTACTCCTGGTGTGGAATGGCTAATTTTAAATGATGAAGGGGAAGAGGTATTGTGTTTTAGATTTCTAAGAGGATTTTGCTCTTCAGTGAAATGAGAATTAAATACCCCTACAGATGTTCCAGTACACTGGCTATCTTCAGTAACACCAACCTTAAGAACAGAGGAATCTGAAAAGCATTTAGAATGTCGGTGAGATGAAAAAGTGATGGAGGTAGTAAACTTTTTCATGGATTCTGGGGACAGCATTTGTGAAGAATGACAATCCATTTCTTCAGGTAGCACATAAGTAGGTTCTATTAAATCTGACATCCAAGGGTCCATATTTTCATGGAATGGCATTCGAAAACCCTTGTTAATTCTGAAGTCATCAGTTGTAAAGTTTTGAATTGGGGAACGACTTTGTAACTGCAAGGAATTCCAAACTTTTAAACGGGTGTTTCTCTGGTCTAGTGATTTGGAAAGGTTGATGTGCCTGTTTCTCCATGAAGATGGGTTCCGGTGTCCTCTGATAATTTCTAAGGGTTCAGGTGATCTGAAGACACAGGGATGGCTGTCCAACTGTGGTTGTTTGGGAGTAAGAGTCCTGAAACATCCTTTTTCATGGCTCTCAATAATAATATGACTACAGACAGCTTCTGGCTGGCATCCTATTCCCCGTGGACTCCGTAAACCCTAGGGAAAAAAAAGATTTTACTTGAAGTAGTCCAAATAGTTATACAAAAATCACTTTGCTGATGTTTTACAATAAAACAGGTAAAAACGTAGGACTAAGACAATTAATTATAGAATAAAATTGCCCATGATCATGCAGTTAATTTCTTCTAAAATTTTTTCACTGAAATAACAAAAGCAAAAACTACTGTTGTCCCCCAGTATTCTCACTTTTTTTCTTATAGTTAACAATATATCCCAACATTGATTAGACAAAGGCCACCAAGTCGCAGGTATTTCCAGCTTCCTTTGAAGCTAGGTGTGACCATAAGACTAAGTTTAGACCAATGGAATATAAGCAAAAGAATTAAGTACAAATTTTGCTTTCTGTCCTTAAAAAATCAAGTTCTCAACCTCCACATCCACCTATTACTACTCTCAACCTCCACATTCACCTATTACTACTATCACCATTACTATTGCCAATTGAAATAGGTGCTCTCTAGAACAATCTTGCAAGCCATATAAAAGGATGATACAGCTGCCCACTCAGCTTGGGTCCTTGGATAACCTGAAGCAACTTGCTCCTGTTTCTACCCTGAACTATCACATAAGAAAATAAAATTTTACCTTATTTGAGCCATTGTATTTTGGGATTTCTTTGTTAAGAAGCTTAGCCTATACCCTAATATTTTACCAATTACAATAGGAAAAAGAACTAATACCTCTTTCTGGTTAATATCAATGCATAATGCTACCATAAATATAAATTTTCTTTGAGATGTCTGCATTTACCTCGCCATTCTACTTGATGATATAGGAACATTTGGCTTCATATAAAAATATTTTAGCCTGGCTGGCATGGCTCAGTGGTTGAACATCGACCTATGAATCATGAGATCACTGTTTGATTCCTAGTCAATGCACATGCCTGGTTGCAGGTTCAAATCCCCAGTAGAAGGTCTATAGGGGGCAGCTGATCGATGATTCTCTCCATTGATGTTTCTATCTCACTCTCCCTCTTCCTTCCTCTCTGAAATCAATAAAAATATATTTTAAAAAGCTCAACATTTAAAAATATGCTGCCACTTCCGACACAGTGGAGTGGATGTGCTTTGCCCTATTCTACTTGCTAAGTCCACAATTAAAAATCCTGGATATTATACAGAAAACAAACTTAAGAAGAATCTGGAAACTATAGAAAAGAAGGCAGGTTGGCTAAAGACATTGGGACCTCAGGAATGACCTGGTAGTGAAATCCCTGGGTTTTCTTTTTACCTGATATATCCCAGATTTGGATCTGAAGAAGCCAGCAAAATAGGAACAAAGGGCACATACAGAAGCTCTAACAAAAACCTACTTTCATTAGCTTAAAAAAAAAAAATGCAAAAAACCCCCCACAAAACAACAACAAAACAAAACAGTAAAGTGAAGTCTAATAAGACAGAAAACTTTGCCCTGATTAGGTGGCTCAGTTGGTTGAGTGTCATTCCATACACCAAAAAGATTGTGGGTTTGATTCCTGGCCAAAGCACATAGGGAGGCAATCGATTGATATTTCTCTTTCAACTAATGTGCTCTTCTCTCTCTCCCTCTCCGTCCCTCTCCTGTTTCATTCTTCCCTCCTTTCCATCCTCCCTCCATTTCTCTCTCTCTTTCAAATCAATAAAAACAAAACAAAACAAAACAAAACAGACACATATCCTTGAGTGGCAATTAAAAACTTTTAGACAAAAAACTGATTTCAAGCAAAAACTACAGGAAAAAAAGGGTGTGTGTGTGCAAAAAGTCTAAGTGAGAAGCATAGACTTCAACCCTTCCAAATTAACAATGAAGCACCACCAAGCCAAGAAGTATTAGAGATGGCCAAGTAGGAGTCCTGCTGACTGGTCATAAACTACCTCTCCTGTGGTGTCAGTGGAGACCACACAGGAAGACTGGATTTCCATTTCCAGTGAGCAGTAGAGTAGTAAGGAGTAGCCCCCCTCTCCCCCAGCTACCAACTGGAAGAAAATATTTGCAAGTCTCATATCCAAAAGAGGACTGTATCTAACATATACAAAGAACTCTCAAAACGTAACAGTTACAAAACCCACACACAATTCAATCAGAAAAATGGGCCAAATAACCATATACATCTCACTAACAAAAGGACATGAAGAGATATTCAAAATCATTAATCATTAAGAAAACATAGATTAGAGAAAACAAGATGGCGACATAGATAAATACCTAAACTGCTGCCTCACACAACAATTTCAAAATTATAACTAAAAGACAAAACAGACATCATCCAGAACCACAGGAAGGCTGGTTGAGTGGAAATTCTACAACTAGAATGAAAGAGAAAAGCACACTGAGACTCCGAGGAGCTGCAGAAGGCAGAGGTACAGAGGCACACGCACGGAGAGGGCTGGCAACTGAGTACACTGTTGGCTTTCTCAATCGGGAGGGAGACAAAAGCTCCTGACAGCTCTGAACTCCAGTTCTGGGCAAGACTCTGGAGATCCAGACTCATTCGGGGAGAAAATGGACTATCAGGAAAGATAAAAGCACACTGAGACTCAGAGGAGCTGCAGAAAGCAGAGGTACAGAGGAACGCACACGGAGAGAGCTGGCAACTGAGTATGTGATTGGCTTTCTCAATCGGGGGGGAGACAAAAGCTCCCGACAGCTCTGAACTCCAATTCCGGGCGACACTCTGGGGACCCAAACTCATTCAGGGAGAAACTGGACTTTCTGGCAGCAGGAAAAACTCAAAATTCAAAAGCAGCTCTTTCTCAGAGGCCTCTTAGGGAAGTGCTGAAAGGAAGCCATTACTGTCTGCTCCGCCCTGAGATTCGGCCCCATCCAAGCTGAGCAGAGAAGCTTTTGCAAGTCTTATCTCATAAGAGTGTCTCTAACACAGAAGCTCTCCCAGCATAGACACAGTTGATCCTCACAGTCAAATGGACTGGAGGTCAAACACTCCTAGTAATACCAAAAATAATCAAGGCTTAACCTGTTAACCGGGGAGTTCCCTTTTCAATGACGCAACCTGTAACAGGCGTGTACTCTTTTCACTAGGACGTGTCAGTACGTCATGCCCAGAGGACGTAATTTCATATTATTTTATTTATTTATACTTAATGAAAATAAATGAAATATATATATATATATTCGTTTATTTATATATATATATAAGCACAAAGGAAAATACAAAATTACAAAAAAAAAAAAAAATAGAAAAGAATACCGACAAAAAAATTGGACATGTCGAATTAAAAAATTATAAATTTTACAAACAATGATAAAGATTACAAAAAATAGCTGAAACCGGTTTGGCTCAGTGGTAGAGCCCGGTCTCGGACTGAAAGGTCCCAGGTTCGATTCCGGTCAAGGGTATGTACCTTGGTTGCCGGCACATTCCCAGTAGGGGGTGTGCAAGAGGCAGCTGATCGATGTTTCTCTCTCATCTCATCGATATTTCTAACTTTCTATCTCTCCCCTTCCCTTCCTCTCTGTAAAAAACCAATAAAATATTAAAAAAAAAAAGATTACAAAAAATATATACCATCCCTCTCGGGGCGCAAGATATATTTCAAGGACGTATTCATATGTCCTACCCGTTCCCAATATTGTTTACATTTGGCGTATTTATAGGTTCCGCTCGGTTATCAGGTAAACTACAACAAGACTGTGCACACAGCCCACAAATGGGTGCACCAAGAGTGCTCACCTCAGGTACTGGGGAGGCTGAGCCACTGGGCCCTGCTAGGACACCTGGCACATAAAGCCACTCTATCAACTCAGGGGAGCAGCCAAAATGTGGAGACAAAGAAACAGGTCACAAATGAAAGAAATGGAGGAAAGCAAACTAATGGATATAGAGTTCAAAACCACAGTTATAAGGTTATTCAAGAATTTTCTAGAAAAGGCAGATAAATTTAGCGAGACCCTTGAGGATACGAAAAAGAACCAACTAGAAATTAAACATACATTGACGGAAATAAAAAATAATATACAGAGATCCAACAGCAGACTAGAGGACTGCAAGAATCAAGTCAAAGATTTGAAAGACAAAGAAGCAAAAAGCACCTAACTGGAAAAGCAAAAAGAAAAAAGAATTCAAAAATTTGAAGATAGTGTAAGGAGCTTCTGGGACAACTTCAAGAGTACCAACATCTGAATTATAGGGGTGGCAGAAGAAGAGAGAGAGCAAGATACTGAAAACCTATTTGAAAAAATAATGACAGAAAACTTCTCCCACCTGGCTAAAGAAATAGGCTTACAAGTCCAGGAAGCACACAGAACCCAAAACATAAGGAATCCAAAGAGGACCACACCAAGACACATCATAATAAAATGCCAAAAGCAAAAGACAAAGAGAGAATATTAAAAGCACCAAGAGAAAAACAGTTACCTACAAGGGAGCACCCATATGATTGTCAGCTGATTTTTCAACAGAAACTATGCAGGCCAGATGGGAGTGGCAGGAAATATTCATAGTGATGAATAGCAAGAACCTACAACCAAGATTACTCTACCCAGCAAAGTTATCATTCAGAATTGAAGGTCAGATAAAGAGCTTCACAGATTAAAAAAAGCTAAAGGAGTTCATCACTGCCAAATAGTATTATATGAAATGCTGAAAGATATTCTTTAAGAGAAAAAAGAAGAAAAAGGTAAAAATAAAAATTATGAACAAATACATATCTATCAACAAGTGAATCTAAAAATCAAGTGAGTAAAAAATCTTATGGACAGAATAAACTGGTGAATATAATATAATCAGGGGCATAGAATGGGGAGTGGACTAACAATTCTCGGAGGGGGGAGGAAAAGGGAGTGAGGGAAGAGACTGGACAAAAATTGTATACATATGGATGAGGACAGTGGGCAGGGGATAAGGGCAGAGGGTAGGGTGGGAACCAGGTGGAAGGGAGGGAGGAAAAAAGAGGAACAACTGTAATAACCTGAACAATAATTATTAAAAAAAACACACACACAAATTAAAACCACAATGAGATACCACTACAAAC